AAACCTCAGAAACTCACTGTGAACAAATTACACAAATCTAGAGGTTTTTATTTTTTAAACATTTATGCAATTGGGTGAAAATATGAAACAACTGTTACCTCCATCAGGAAGCTCGTGGTTCCTGTGAAAATGTTGAGACATTCTGATATTATTTTTGAAAACTTCTTTTAGCATCTTGCACTCTGCTTGAACTGAATCTGGAGATGTTGGCAGTTCCAACCAAGGATCTCCGCTTGCAGACCTTGTTTCTAATCTCTAAGGGCCTCTTTAAATCCCCTCATATGCATAAAGCTATGTGACTATAAGCTGCTGAGGATCAGAACAACCACCACTGACATATCTCACCTTCTACGTGAGAAAACACAAATTGTCAACTTGAAATCCAACGCCAGCTCTTATAAATTCTAAGCTCTAAGGACCTCTGTTAAGGTCTTGGATTGTGGGACCCCTCTATCCTCCATTTGGATCTGTAGTACCATAAATACGGAAGAGGATTAGGGCCACTGAAAAAAAAACAAAGTTAACTGATTTTTTATTTTTTATTTCAGTATAGTATGGGATTAAAGTCAGAATTCTGACATTAAAGTCAGAATTCTGACTTTTTTTCTCAGAATTCTGACTGAATTCTGACTTTAATCTCAGAATTCTGACTTTAATGTCAGAATTCTGACTTTATGTCAGAATTCTGACTTTTTTCTCAGAATTCTGACTTTAATCTCAGAATTCTGACAATAAAAAGTCAGAATTCTGAGATTAAAGTCAGAATTCTGAGAAAAAAGTCAAAATTCTGACTTTAATGTCAGAATTCTGACTTTAATGTCAGAATTTTGACTTTATGTCAGAATTCTGAGATTAAAGTCAGAATTCTGAGAAAAAAGTCAGAATTCTGACTTTAATGTCAGAATTCTGACATTAAAGTCAGAATTCAGTCAGAATTCTGACTCTAATGTTAGAATTCTGACTTTAATCTCAGAATTCTGAGAAAAAAAATCAGAATTCTGACTTTAATGTCAGAATTCTGACTTTAATGTCAGAATTCTGACTTTAATGTCAGAATTCTGACTTTAATCCCATACTATACTGAAAAAAAAAAAAAAAATCAGTTAACTTTGTTTTTTTTTCAGTGGCCCTAATCCTCTTCCGTACATACACTATATTGCCAAAAGTATTTGCTCACCCATCCAAATTATTGGAATCAGGTGTTCCAATCACTTCCATGGCCACAGGTGTATAAATTCAAGCACCTAGGCATGTAGACTGTTTTTACAAACATTTGTGAAAGAATGGGTCGCTCTCAGGAGCTCAGTGAATTCCAGCGTGGAACTGTGATAGGATGCCACCTGTGCAACAAATCCAGTCGTGAAATTTCCTCGCTCCTAAATATTCCACAGTCAACTGTCAGCTGTATTATAAGAAAATGGAAGTGTTTGGGAACGACAGCAACTCAGCCACGAAGTGGTAGGCCACGTAAACTAACGGAGCGGGGTCAGCGGATGCTGACGCGCATAGTGCGAAGAGGTCGCCAACTTTCTGCAGAGTCAATCACTACAGACCTCCAAACTTCATGTAGCTCAAGAACAGTGCGCAGAGAGCTTCATGGAATGGGTTTCCATGGGCGAGCAGCTGCATCCAAGCCATACATCACCAAGTGCAATGCAAAGCGTCGGATGCGGTGGTGTAAAGCACGCCGCCACTGGACTCTAGAGCAGTGGAGACGCGTTCTCTGGAGTGACGAATCGCGCTTCTCCATCTGGCAATCTGATGGACGGGTCTGGGTTTGGCGGTTGCCAGGAGAACGGTACTTGTCTGACTGCATTGTGCCAAGTGTAAAGTTTGGTGGAGGGGGGATTATGGTGTGGGGTTGTTTTTCAGGAGCTGGGCTTGGCCCCTTAGTTCCAGTGAAAGGAACTCTGAATGCTTCAGCATACCAAGACATTTTGGACAATTCCATGCTCCCAACTTTGTGGGAACAGTTTGGAGCTGGCCCCTTCCTCTTCCAACATGACTGTGCACCAGTGCACAAAGCAAGGTCCATAAAGACATGGATGACAGAGTCTGGTGTGGATGAACTTGACTGGCCTGCACAGAGTCCTGACCTCAACCCGATAGAACACCTTTGGGATGAATTAGAGCGGAGACTGAGAGCCAGGCCTTCTCGTCCAACATCAGTGTGCGACCTCACAAATGCGCTTCTGGAAGAATGGTCAAAAATTCCCATAAACACACTCCTAAACCTTGTGGACAGCCTTCCCAGAAGAGTTGAAGCTGTTCTAGCTGCAAAGGGTGGACCGACGTCATATTGAACCCTATGGATTAGGAACGGGATGTCACTTAAGCTCATATGTGAGTCAAGGCAGGTGAGCAAATACTTTTGGCAATATAGTGTAAGTCATGATAGATAATGGAATATAAATTTGAACATTTCTGTAGCAACATTCATGCAGTTTTTCTATTATCAAGCTCCCAAAAGTAACTTAGAGCAAACAGTTGATTTCTGATGATGCAAATCATTTCATGAAATTTTATATTACGAAATATGCTTTTAATTGACCTCTTGGATTTGCATTGTTATTTTGAATGCCTTCAAAATGTTGTTAAGAAATTCTTATATTCTTATGTTTGACCAAGATTTAAGATTGAATCCCATCTGTTAGACATTCGGTTGGGCGTTTGTTCAAAGAGCAACAGGACAATCTGGAATTTATTTGATTAAACTCTAAATCAAATCAAATCACAAGTAATCATATACAGGTCCTTCTCAAAATATTAGCATATTGTGATAAAGTTCATTATTTTCCATAATGTTATGATTAAACTTGAACATTCATATATTTTAGACTCATTGCACACTAACTGAAATATTTCAGGTCTTTTATTGTCTTCATACGGATGATTCTGGCATCCATCAAATGAAAAACCAACATTCCTGTCTCATAAAATTAGTATATTTCATCCAACCAATAAAAGAAAAATGTTCTTAATACAAAGAAGTCAACCTTCAATAATTCTGTACATTTATGCATTCAATACTTGGTGGGTGGGGGGGGGGGGGGTCCTTTAGCAGAAGTGACTGCTTCAATGCGGCGTGGCATGGAGGCAACCAGCCTGCTGAGGTGTCATAGAGGCCCAGGATGCTTCCATAGCGTTTAGCCTTTAGCTCATCTACAGTGTTGAGTCCTGAGTCTCTCAACTTTCTCGTCACATTATTCCACAGATTCTTTATGGGGTTCAGGTCAGGAGAGTTGGCAGTCCAATTGAGCCCATCAGTGAACCATTTACCAGTGGTTTTGGCTCTGTGAGCAGGTGCCAGGTGGTGCATCTTCATCTCCATAAAGCTTTTCAACAGATCTCCTGATAGCTAGCTGCATTGACCCCCGCCCTTGATAAAACCCAGTGGACCAACACCAGCAGCTGACATGGCGCCCCAGACCATCACTGACTGTGGCTACTTGACTCTGGACTTCTGGCATTTTGGCATTTCCTTCTCCCCAGTCTTCCTCCAGACTCTGGCACCTTGATTTCCAAATGACGTGTAAAACTGAGCAGCAGTCCAGAGCTGCTTCTCTGTAGGTCAGGCTCCTCTGCCGCTGTTTCTGGTTCAAAGTTGGCTTGACCTGGGGAATGTGGCAACTGTAGCCCATTTCCTGCACACGCCTGTGCACGGTGGCTCTGGATGTTTCTACTCCAGACTCAGTCCACTGCTTCAGGTCCCCCAAAGGTCTGGAATCGGCCCTTCTCCACAATCTTCCTCAGGGTCCGGTCACCTCTTCTGGTTGTGCAGCATTTTCTGCCACTTTTTCCTTCCCACTGAGGCGCCTTGATGCAGCAGGACTCTGGGAACAGCCGATTGGTTCAGAAACATCTTTCTGTGTCATAACCTCTTGCTTGAGGGGGTCAATGATGGTCTTCTGGACAGCAGGCAGGTCGGCAGTCTGACCCATGATGGGGGTCTGAGTGATGAACCAGGCTGGGAGTTTTAAAGGCCTCAGGAATCCTTTGCAGGTGTTTAGAGTTAATTTGTTGATCCAGATGATTAGGTGCATAGCAGCTCGTTTAGAAACCTTTTTCATGACATGCTCATTTTGTGAGAGAGGAATGTTGGTTTTTCATTTGCTGGATGCCAGAATCATCCATATGAAGACAATAAAAGACCTGAAATATTTCAGTTAGTGTGCAATGAATCTAAAATATATCAATGTTTTATCGTCACATTATAGAAAATAATGAACCTTATCACAATATGCTAATATTTTAAGAAGAACCTGTAGATAACAGATCCAGAGCTTCCATAGCTGCAGGACTGGATGTGCCAACCACCGTTTTCACATTTTTATCTTGCAAAAAGGTCGGAGAAATATTTAGATAATATGAAAGACATTTTCTTTTAACCCTGAGACACGTTCTTATCTGGTTCTTCATCAGATCGGCCATTGCTTCTGTTGTTGTCACAGTCACACCTAACCTCCTTTACCTTCCTCATGCTGAGTTAAAGCTCAAACCAACCAAGGTTCTATGATCTGTGAACCTAATGAGTTTTACCCGACTTAGACACTGGAAAAACGATCTAGAAATAAGTAAAAATATCTTAAATTAAGTGTATTTATCCTTAATTTGAGTAGGTAAATGTGATTGTTTGCCAGTGGAATGAATATTTTCACTCTTAAAATAAGATAATTAGATAATATGCACTTGAAATAAGACAATGCAATTGTTTTTTCTTATTAAATTGTCCTGTTCCATCGGCAAGATGTCTCTTTTACCTCCTAAATCCAAGAAAAATTCACTTATTTTAAGAAAAAGTTACTTATCTAGATTTCAATTTTTTTTTCCAGTGGAGCTCCTATGAGCTCTAAAAACATCAAGAATAACACCCCCTATCTTCATGGCGGATAGACTCCAGTATAAAAGGGCAGAAATGGCAAAGTTAACATTTTTAAAACAATCTGTTTGGAACTGAGCACCAATCAGATCTTCGTCGTTACAAAGAAGAGCAGCCGGTGTCTGAAAAAGTCAACTTTATTTCTATGAAAGAATAAACAAAGTGAACACAATATTTTTGTTACTATTTTTCATTTTTTTTGTATAAAATTCACAGTTTAAGTGATGATAAGAGAAAAAAATATACCATTAATAGTTGGATAAAAAAAAAAACAGAATAAAATGGAACGGTTCCACAGATGTTTTTTCAGAGACTCAGTTTTTGCTGAGCATCTGCAGACGCACAACCACACACACACACCCTCACACACGCACACACACACTCCTCTAACTTCCAGTACATGGTACCAGACTGGCTCAACAATAAATCTGCTACAAACATTTCGACATTTCGACTCAAAACGAGGGAGAAACCATCTGACTGATCCAGAGGTGGGATCTGGTTATGGGTCAAATAAAATTTGAAGCATATTTTAGATTAAATAAATGCATATATTTCCGACTAAATATGTGCCTCAGGTTTGGGAATGAAGACCTGTTACTGTTACAGCAGCTTTAACATGCAGGTTTGTAGGCGGAGGAACTGAGGTTTTACTATAATGTCTGTTTTGTGTTTGTATTGGACCTTTTATTTTGAAATGACTCCATGTGACGCAGACATCTAGGGGTCTGAGGTGTATTCCTGTCCTCTCATGACTTGATGAGACAGAAACCAGTGGGCAGACATTCAGCAGCGAGTATTTGTTGAGTGGGAGCGTTCCTTTTGTGTCCAAGGACACCAGCCGGGTGGAGTCTGGCAAGCTGAAGAACGCAGCATGAACCCGGGTGATACCTTGGCTTTCCACACCGTTATGTGGTAATAATTTATGACTGATTGATGAGCGCGTCCTCTTTGGTCCACCAGTGACCCGATGCTGCTGCTGTGGTGGGTTTCCAGCTCTCTGCTTGATAAAGGCACATGAAATCAGTGTGTTCACGGAGCACACCTTATGCTGTTCCCTGAACAACCTGGATGGACTCAATCAGGTAGATAAACAGAACATGGCAGGCTTATTGAGTGTGGTACTATAGACGTCCTCTTATTAAGAGATTACAACTGCTGCAGCTTCTCCTCGTTGTTGTTGTTGTGGAGGCCAAGGTTCATATCCAGACCCGACTGCTTCCTCAGCGCTCGTGGAACCAGACTCTTCTTCAGGAACAGTTTCTGGAGGAAGCGGTTGCTGATACTGAACGGGCAATAGCTGTGGATGAAGTACATCAATCCGATGCCAGGGCCGGCGTAGTAGCGAGCCTGCGGCTGTGGCGAGAGTAGCGCTTTGACGATGGTGTTAACGACGGGGCTGAGGTCTGGATTGGCGTGCTCGCTGAAGCTGTGGAAGAGATCCTTGGTCTCGGTCATGTAGTCCTCGCCGTACTCCTCAAGGAGCGCCGGAGACAAACTTTGGAGGAGCAGCTTGTGCTGCTGCTCCCAGTAGGCGTGGTTGGTGGAGGTAGCTGCGGAAAGCAGAAGCCAACTTTACTACAGATAGAACAATGACAGACTCTTCTACCTAAATCTAATCCTAATACTACCAAGCGTTACCATAGACATAAAAACAATATAAAACTTTCACATTTACTCTTGGTGGTTCCGATCTAACTTTTACTAAAATTATTTACTCATAGATTTATTTTAATTAACTTATTTTATCAAACAAAGTATTCTCTCAATGGGTTTTCTTCGTATAGTTATTTTAATGCCTCTGCTGTTGACTGGGAATAGAATGAATAAGCTACAGCTTGAAGTAGAACTGCATGACGACCAGCAGGGGGAGCTCCCCACATCCGTTTATTATGTTATTTTCTTTTCTAACTCATGAACTCACCACAAAACCAGAGCTGCTGGGAACCTGCAGATGATCTATCTTTAGATGAGGTGTAATAATGTGGGCTGGGGGGTCAGGGCTCACCTGTCTTATAGGAGGAGGGAAGGATGGTGCTCACTCGGACCCCCCAGGGGTTCAGCTCATGCCTCAGGGTTTCAGTGAAGAGGTTCAAAGCTGCTTTGGACGCTCCATATGCAGCCAGGCATGGAAACGGTTGGTCACCTGGAAGACACAGGTAGATGGTCCAATGAGATGCTGAACCAGTAGAGTGGTGGTTTTACTGGGTTCATAGGAAAAAACACACTCTGCTGGATGGAAAAAGTCAGAAGTTTCAGGTCCTAAAGGATGATTGTCTTTGAATGATTCTATTTGCTTTGGATCACGTAGTCTTTGACTTGGACTGGTTCTGTCTGTTTGACTTGGCAGGAGAATGATTCTATAGCGGTTATGAATCCTGTTTTTACACCCACTGAACTCTTTCACTTTCTCTCACGATACAGCCTAAAAAAAGCTTCTGGGTGAGATGTGACAAAGCAACAGAAAGTGGGTCCTAACTGTGAAAATGAAGGAATCAATTGTTTTCAACATTTTACCAAATGCATGATGAGTGTTTTGCACACCTGCGGGGCTGGAGATGTTGACGATGCGTCCTTTGGCCTGTCGCACCAGCGGCAGGAAGCTCTTGGTGACGTCCACCGTGCCGAAAAAGTTCACCTCCATGCAGCCTCTGAAGGTGGACATCAGGGACAGTTCTGCTTCTCCGAAGTTCACACACACTCCGGCGTTGTTGACCAAACCCCACAGACCTGCACACACAGGTCACTGAGTCAAGTTCTGGTTTGACTTTAACTTTCTTACTGTGAAAAAAAGCTGTTAATGTTTGATGTCTGTGTAAAGTGGAAAAATACAGACCAAACATTTTAAGAGATTCTGTCTCATTCATCAGTGAGTTCATGAGCTGACTGTCAATAAGCAGCTGTGCAGATATAAATAAACTCTGACATCCCAGCTGTGCCGGTTTTCCACCGTGGAACCATCTCAGCTCTACAGTGTTTGCTCCGCATGAGGAAAACCGATAAAGGTCTCAGAGGAGCTATGTGACCCCTGCAGGGTTGTTGCGTGCATATAAGACCGTGATCACTATACCTCAGGCCAAACCCAGGTCAGCCTTTTCCTGTCTGCTCATGTAAACAATTCTGGCTCGGCCCGTCGGAGGTGAGTGACCCAGAATTCCAGGCTTTGTTTTTTTGGCCACCGTGGGATCAGTGTTTAGCTCTGAGTGTGAACTGATAAGACTAAAACTATGGAGACGTCAGAGAGACGGCTCAGGTTACGTCATGTCTCAGGAGGTTCTCCCCATGTCAAACAGGAACCAGTCAAATCAATCAAGAACCTTCTGATTTTATGGTTCATGAGGATATAAAATATTCTTTAACCTGACCTTAAATGAACAACAGCTTGTGAAGAAGACACAATAATATAATCTGATTTGATCTAGAGGAGCAGTGGTGGCTTAGAGGTTTGGAGAATAGCAGGTTGAGGCAAGGTCAGGCTGAGGCTTCAAGGTCATCCGTTTGAAAGAGTCCATGAGCAAGACCCTTAACACCGGTTACTCCCTTTGTTTCTGGTTATGGCAGCAAACCACAGTTAAAACGGGTATTATCAGAGATGGCAAAAGTTCTCACTTTCCGTACTTGAGTAAAAGTACAGATACTTGTGTTAAAAAATACTCTGGTAAAAGTGGGAGTACTGATTAAACTTCTTTACTCAAGTAAAAGTAACAAAGTACAGGCTTGTAAATTTACTTAAACTATAAAAGTAAAAGTAGAAACCACTTTTTTCATGCCGTTGCCTACATTTTAAATGGATGTCTGCCAATAGGACTAGATCTCCGTTGTGTTCATTTTCAATCATCTCGTCGTCCATGCTACTATGCTAACGCCACCGCCACCAAGCTGCAATGATTTGCCGCCAATGAATACCGCCGAATCTGTCGATTCATCTTGTAGTGGTGCGTCAAATGCAACGTAGATTCCCATCCAATTAGATTGAATTTGGTATTGATGGCGTGAAAAATAATAACGGTAACTCCATTGAAATGATTCAAAACTAAAGTAACGAGCCAATTTTTTAAAATGTAAGGAGTAGAAAGTACAGATATTTGTGTAAAAATGTAAGGAGTAGAAGTAAAAAGTCGCCATAAAATAAAGTAGTATAGTAAAATAAAAATCTACTTGAGTACAGTAACGAAGTATTTGTACTTCGTTACTGTAAAAAGTGGGAAACACCCGACATAAAATCAATTCATGTTATCAGCCTTGTTTTGTTCTGTCCTCCCATCCAGGGTGCGCTTGTTTTGTTTTTTTACACTCAGACGTTACCATCAACATCTTGAGATTTTACAAGTCCACATTAAATATCGAATTAGTTATTTTTCCACCAGGTTAGAGTCCCGTCCCAGCGAGGACCAACATTTCGGGTGCATTTTAGGACAAACGGCCGCCTGTAAATCTTCTCTGAATACTTCTGAGACTGAAGTATGAAACAAATGTGCATCATTTTCTTCTCATTCAGAGCAGGAGGTCTCACTACCCTCTCTGAGTTTTCCTGGAAATCTGGCCCAGAGCTCAAACCGCTGCGTTAAACTTTAATGACTCATGTGATAAAGACTTTAAAACTTTATCCCCACAAGAGAGGAATGACATTTATGTCCCTACAACATGAGACAATTGAAAACTGTTAGAGAAAGGGGGGGGGGGGGGGGGGGGGGGGGTGTTGCCTTCCCTTCTTTTCTTTTATTTGCTGACGCCCCCAAATGACTGCAAACTGCTGCCAACTCTTTGGGCTCTAATTATAAGGCCCGGGGAAGCCGCTGCTCTGATCCAATCACAGAAGTCCCTCATGAGAGAACAACACCCTCCCCGCTTCCCATCCCACTGGACAGCCCTGACTCTGGGACCGGTCCCAGAGCAGTCATCTGCTTGTTCCAGCGTTTCCTAGAAGGCTGCGGCACAAACAGTGCAAACATTCCTGCTCATCTCTGTCTGGCACACCGTGGGCCGGGGAGCAGCTGAGCAGAACCAGGAAGGAATTTGATTATTAACGGAGACAAATCCGGCTGCAGAGCATCAATCCGCCAAACACAGATCCAGTCTCGCTTAGAGTCACTTGATGTGCCCACAGCCAAGTTTCTGTGAGACTTTCAGTGCTTTACGAACGTTCTTCTGACACTAGAGGTTCAGAATAGGTCCACCTGCACTGCGAAAAAGTCATTTTTTCTTAAAATTATTTCATTTTTTCTTGAACTGAGGAGGAAAGTGAGACATTTTGCCAACAGAACGAGACAATTTACATTTAAGATAAGAAAAAACATTTGAGTTGTCTTATTTCAAGTGCATATTATCTAATTATTTTAATACTAAGAGTGAAAATACTCCCATTGGCAAACTATCTCATTTACCTACTCAAAATAAGGGTAAATGAACTCAATTTAAGACATTTTTACTTATTTCTAGATCAGTTTTCCAGTGTGAAAGCAGATTTCACACTGGAAAAATGGAAATCTAATTAAGCAATTTTTACTTAAAATAAGTGCATTTTTTCTCCAATTCAGTACGAAAGTGAGACACTTTGCCAATGAAACGAGACAATTTACATTTAAAATAATAAAAAACAAGTTCATATTATCTAATTTTCTTATTTTAAGAGTAAAGCAAATCATCATATTTACCCACTCAAATTAAGGGTGAATACACTAAATTTAAGAATTTTTTACTTAATTCTAGATCATTTTTGCAGTGCATTTTCTAGACCTGAAAAAGGGAAGGAATTCCTGCACTGCAAAAACGATCTAGAATTAAGTAAAAAATTCTCAAATTAAGTGTATTCACCCTTAATTTGAGCAGGTAAATGAGATCGTTTGCCAATCAAATGAGTAATTTTACTCTTTAAATAAGATAATTAGATAAAATGCACTTGAAATAAGACAATGCAATTGTGTTTTCTTATTTTAAGTGTAAATTGTCTTGTTCCATTGGCAAAATGTCTCTTTTACCTCCTCAATCCAAGAACAAATGCACTTATTTTAAGACAAAATGACTTATCTAGATTTAGATTTTTTGCAGTGTGTGGATTTGTATTGTAAGGAAAAGTTAATGTGCTGAAGTTTGTCCCTCTGGGGTTACCATCCTGTCCAACCTTCATTCCCTAAACATGTTAGAAATTCAGTCGCCTCTTGTGAGGCGTTCATGATCCAATGCTGCGATGAAAGCAGATCTATAAACGTCCACGAGCCGATTTACCGGAACTGCAAACAAGCGAATTCTTCCTCCTCTTCTTCCAAACTGTCCTATCAGGGGCATCTCAGGCATTCAGTCTGACAGGTGGTTTTTGGACGTATAGTGTTAGATCATACATCATTCAATTCTATTCAGTTTATTTCTATAGCTCCAATTCCCATCAGGTCATCTCAGGTCACTTTCCAGTTCACCAGATCATACAGTAAGATTGATTCAAAGTTTCCTTTATAAAGAACACCAATTGATTGCATTGACTCTTCAGCAATCCCTCACACTAAGCATGCTTGTAGCGACAGTGGAGAGGAAAAACTCCCTTTGAACAGGAAGAAACCTCCAGCAGAACCAGGCTCAGTGTGAGCGGCCATCTGCTGATCATGAGCTGCGAACTTTTAAACCCTGTGCAGTTTGAGCTTCAGCTGATTACAATTATGGAAAATATGTAGGGTGTAGCCCCCCCCCCCCCCCCCCCCCCCCCCCCCCCCCCCCCCCCCCCTCAGTGGTGTCTAGAAGCACAAGATCTATATCCAGCCATTCAGCAAAGATGCTGCTACTTGGTTGTACATTTTATTTGGGCATTTGACCAATTAGACGAGGCCTCGGATGATATCTGACCTACTGAAAATTAAATTGAAAAAAAATTCAACAAATTAAGAAAAAAAAGGTAAAAATCTAATTTAAAAGTTTCAAAATTAATAATCCTAGTTAATAATTATATTTAGGTTTATAAAATCTGTAAGTAGCAGTATCAGCATTAATGCCTCTCAGGTTATAATGGACCAAAAAAATTTTTTTTTTTCACTCTCAGAAATATTTGGGCAAGTTGGCGATTCTTGTTATTGCATTGACATTCATTTTTACCATCTAAACACCCATATTCTTTGAATATTACAAAGGTAAGAAGGTCTTATCCTGGATCCTGGATTCTCCTGGATTTTGATTTTCAAAGCATTTCACTGAGCGCCCTAAAAAGGGTTAAAGCAGCTCAGAAACATCTGGAGCTGATGGCACCTGCAGCTCTGCATCACGGCTCACCTTCAACCTGATCCCACTTAATGTTTCTAGCACTTTCATTTGCTATCAGTGATTTCACTTAGAGATGCTTTTTAAAGGTTGTTGTTCCAGTTGGATGTTCTAAACCTGCTGGTCTACCCACACTGCAAAAACCATCTAAAAATAATAAAAAAAAATGTCTTAAATTAAGTGTATTTACCATTAATTTGAGTAGGTAAATAAGATAATTTGCCAATGGAATGAGTAATTTTAGTCTTAAAATAAGATAATTAGATAATTTTCTCTTGAAATAAGACAATGCATTTGTGTCTTATTTTAAATGTAAATTGTTTTGTTCCATTGGCAAAGTGTCTCAATTACCTCCTCAATTCAAGAAAAAATGCACTTATTGCAAGAAAAAATGACTTATTTAGATTTAGATTTTTTGCAGTGCAGCTCACCTCGGAGGCCCAGCTTGGCCTTGGTGTCCAGCAGCGCCTGCTGCACCTGCTGCGGCTGCGTGATGTCCACCTGTAGGAGGGTGAGGCGGGAGGAGCAGCTTCTCTGCAGCTCTCTGGCTCCGTCTCCCTCCAGGTTCAAAACGGTGGCGAAAACTTCGAAACCCAAGGAGTCGAGACGCTTTGCCGCCGCATTCCCGAAGCCGGAGTCACAGCCTGCAGGAAAGGAAACCCTGGGATTACATGATAGTTGAATCCAGATGGTTTCTGGCTCCCTGATTTACTCTTCTTACAACTGTGCAATACATGAAATTTGGGGGGTGCAGTTGTACCTATTCCTGGTCTGGTTTTCGGTGAATCCCTCACATGGAAACAACCATGCAGAAACGCAGTAAGGTGAATTTAAAGCAAGCATTTCCTCTATCATGCATGTTCTGTTCTGGGTCAGCAGGAGGAAGCAAAAGAGAAGCCATCGCTGAAAGATCCTACATGCTAATTCTACTCATCCAAGTTTTAAACCCAGAACTTCCTGCCAGCAGAAAACAGAGTAAAACTGCACCAAACACATCACTATTATTATATCGTTTTCCTAAACCGGAATAAGTTCTGATTAAAGGACAGTTCTTCCTTGTTTCCTTAAAGGAATAGTACACCCAAAACATGATTAGCCTTCATTTTCTACTCACCCCCATGCTGAACAACACTCTGGAGTACTTTTTTGATATCTCAAATGCATCTGGAGATCTGGGAGGCTTCTTACTGTCTGCTGACATTCAAATAATGGAGGTCTATGGCGCCCGAGGCAGAAAGGTCCATAAAAGTCCACAAAAAACGTGTCAATATTCCTCCATACTGCTCGTCCAATGTATTCCTTTTTTTTTTTTTTTTTTTTTTTACAGTGTCCTGTCTGGCAAGGTGGCAATAAGAATAATTGTCTTGATGCCAAAAGGAGCCCAACAGATTTTACTTTCACAAGTGTAGCGGTATCGCAATTGCCATACCGCTCCACTTGTTTCATGTATATAAATTGCTTTATTATAATTATGCAGGGAGTTTTACAGTTCATATGGACACTGCAATGTAAGTAGAGCAGAAAAACAGAAGAAGAAGAAGGAAAAAGAAAAAGAAAAAAACAGGACAAAAGATGAAAGAAAGAGGAGATAGGAAGGAGACAATGACAAAACATTTTCAGTCTGCTTCAACACCTGTAATGAGATGGAGAAAAAAAAAAAAAAAAAAAGAAAAAAAAGAACAGCACAACCAAAAAACATGGTACGAGATATACAATAAAGCAAACACCTTGAAACTATCACTAAAGTAATATTATTAAGTCTGACATGTACTCTGTGTTACCTGAAGATATGAATGTGGGGTTTCTGTTTGGAAGTGAATCTCTGAGTACCTGAAGCCTAGCACCTGTAGTTGTTTGTGAGGGTGAACTTGTGCATGTAAAGTTTTAACCATAGAAAAAATGCTCAATAGTGGTTGTGGAGAGCCGGAGAGGCACACCCCCCAGAGCACTGAGTCCAGCGCCGGGAGACCCAAAGCCCCAGGCGCCCAAGGGGACCCCAGAAGCGAAGGCACCAAGGCGGGGCCAGCCCCGGAAACCAGACCCCACCAAGGGAGGAGGAGAGGCAGCCACGAAGAAGCCCCCCAGCCACCGCCATGCCGGCGCCCCGGGGAGCCGCGGGGACGAGTCCGCGGGCCCCGCCGGCAGCCGGCCACCCTGAAGTAGGGCCGGGCACCGAACATCGGCCCCCCCACGGCACCGACCGAACCGCCCCAGCCCCACAGAGCACCGAAACACGCCCCGCCCCCCGGCACCAAGCCCCGGCGACCGGCCGCAACACCCACCGCGACCGCACCACCCAGGAAAAACACACAGGTGGCCCCCGCCTGCAGCCGGGGCGCATCCGCCGCAAACCGGCCGCGAGCGCCGCGGGACCCCCCTAAAACGCTCCCCCAGGCCAAAAGCACGGCCACACCCCACCAAGACCGATGCCAACATCGCGCAATGCAACACACCGCGCACAGAATCAACCCAAGAGCAGAAAAGCCGCCCGGCGCAAAACCGCAAGAAGAGCAGACCGCAGCCGGCGCAACCACCCCCCCCAGCAGCCCGAGGGGCAGCACAAAGCCAGAGTGGAGCGAACCGCGCCACCCCCCCACCGGACGAAGCCAAAGCAGCCCAGCCACGTCCGCCGCCCCCCCCGCAGCCCGCACCAGGCCCTGACCCGCGGCCAGAGCAGCTCCGCCGCCCCGGCCCCCCACCACGCGCCGGTCATAGCCACTCCAGGCCCCCACCCGCCCCGCAGCCCCCGCGATCAGCGGGAACAGAGCAGCCCCGCCATGCCTCCAGGAGGGAAAACCCACCCGAATACCCAGCCAGCGCAGCCAGCCCGCCCAGACCGGCCCCCCAACACTACCCCCGCCGGAGCCGCCCGGACCCCCACACACCAGCGGCGCGCCGCCAGCAGGACCCCCACCCAGCAGGCCCGCCCGCCCCCCCGAGAAAACAGACATGCCAAACCCCCCAAAGAAAAAAAAAAGAAAAAAAAAAAAAAAAAAAAAAAAAAAAAGGAGCATAAACAGTAGTGTATAGGATTTCCTGAAAGCGCGTTCACGAGTCTACGGAAACCGCGGCAGACCAAACCAGATGAAAGTGCGCATTCAGCGTCTGCTCTGCCAATAATGCAAGCGTAGAAGAAGAAATGTGCTGTTTACCTGTGCAAAGAAAGAAACAACGAAAGAAAAATGTCTGAGGACTTCAGTGTTGAGGAAGAGCATGAGTTCTTTGCCGAGCTGAATGCGCACTTTCATCTGGTTTGGTCTGCCGCGGTTTCCGTAGACTCGTGAACGCGCTTTCAGGAAATCCTATACACTACTGTTTATGCTCTAAAAACATTCTAAATGACTTCGTTTCGAGTAAATTCTGGACGCTACCCACTCAGGACACTTGGAATACATTGGACGAGCAGTATGGAGGAATATTGACACGTTTTTTGTGGACTTTTATGGACCTTTCTGCCTCGGTCACCATAGACCTCCATTATTTGAATGTCAGCAGACAGCAAGAAGCCTCCCAGATCTCCAGATGCAATTGAGATATCAAAAAAGTACTCCAGAGTGTTGTTCAGCATGGGGGTGAGTAGAAAATGAAGGCTAATCATGTTTTGGGTGTACTATTCCTTTAACATTTGGTGACCTACGTCAGCTGAATTCTCCGCATAGAAGAAGGAAAGTTGAAACGAACATAGAACCAGCATCTCCTTAGAGTAGAATTTATCTCTCACTGAGATTCATTCTGCATTAATAAAGGTAAATAGAAAATAAATATCTGCTAAAATAAGTTTGTGTTTGTGAAGAAAGACCTGCTCCTTAATGAAGTGCATGGAGCACCCAACTCTGATTGGACCAGTTCGACACTATTTCACCAGATCAGGGGTAACAGTTGTCATTTTGACGGCAGTTCTGGCTTTCTCTGATGTCATCATGTCCTTGAGCAAGACCAAACTGCCAACCTACTGATGGAGCTCAGGGAGCAGGTGTTGCTTGTGTTAGCCTGTCAGAGAGTCCAGGGCAGCTGGGAAGTGGCCCCCTGACTTAGTGCTTTATAAGTACAGGCCACTTAAAGAGGCATTCGACAGAAAGTTGGTGAAATGTTCATTATTTGTCAAAGTTAGACTGAAATGTCTCCATGTTTCCAAAGATCAGAGCTGCTTACGTTACACAGACTGCAGAAAAATGTACGCTTGTCGGGTTATCGACATCACAGACGGCAGAACTCATAATGTGGCCCAAGTAGTTACCTCTGCCAAGGAGGTTTGTCTGTCCATATGTGGACAGGATAGCTTGATAAATTATGGACAGATTTTGATTTTATTTTTTTCCAAAGGTGCGACTCGGTCCAACGAGCAATCCATTAAATATTGATGATGATCCAGATCATAGTCTGAATACAGGATTTTCTAACATGGTGAGCTATGGATATTTGGTGGAGCAAGCAGTTCCCCACTAAACCAGAGGGGGGCAGCAGTGATTGCTCACAGCCTCAGCAGCGGACTCAAAAAGTCCGCGGGGTATTTTACTGAAGACCAAACCAGGAGAAAATGGGAGGTTGGTGGGTTTTTTTATAGGATCATTTCATTTAAACGGATTTTATAGATGTTGTTTCCCAGAGGTGCCTCATGTTAATGTAACCTGCATAAAATAATCAACCGCATTTTATTTTGGCGGGTCAAACCGGGAAGCACACTATAAGTTCTGGGTCGAAGGTGAACTCGGACCTCTTCTGTTGCTGCTACTGCTGTGGCTAGCAACTCATGTCGGCGTTTTCCTAAATCGCCGAAGAATACTGGGAAATCGAGTTAAATTGAAACAGCCGAAGCATTGCATTAAGTGTGCTGTGACAACCACTCGACGGTGAGTTGTTGATCCTTTGTTATTTGTTTTTTTTATATATATAATAATAATATAATACATAAAAATTTGGTAATGATCCAGATCAAGTCACGTTTAGCTATAGCTGGAAAAACTTGCTGCTTGGTGGAGGTCAGCTTCTCTGAGTGTTTTTCTAGTTCTGCAAGTTTTTAGGTTTTTAGTTTGGTTGTTTTTTTGTTAATTAAATTATCCCGTTTTGGTTGTTCCTGTTCAGAATTTAGACAACACGACTTTGAATTGGTTCATCATATCTCTCATATGTTAACATTAATAAGCAGAACTCAAAGAAGTCCATCTTTATCGAACTCCATCAGATTAGAGCCTGGACTTCATCAAATAATAAATATGGTAAAACTTTCCTCTCTTTGATAACTTTGCTGCATCTTTAGGCCTCAAGACATGATTTGAAACTATTACTTGTTCAAGTCTGCTGCTCTTCATCCACAGTTTAAATATTAGACGATTACTCTCTATTCTCCCACTCTGCAGAATCTGTTAGTTCAATCTCTAACGTTCTGCTCTCTCTGCTTTTTCTCATAGTAGCTTCATCTGGTCTGTTCCTGTTTGGCTGTGACTCCATCCTGGAGAGAAATATCAGCTGTGCTGCTGCCATCAACACCTTTGTTTCTAGATGTTGGAGCTTGGCCTGTTTTCCAGTGTAGTCCTGTTTCTCTGACTGTGACTAACTGGATGTGCTCTCTTCATCCTCTGACATGGGAGCTGGCTCGGAGCTCGTCTGCCTGGCTGTGTGTTTCCTGGACGGGGCCGCCTGTGGA